GTCGTCGTTGTGAAGAAGTTCGGGTCTTGAGTCTTGAGGCTAATGGGTCCTCCGCGGGCCCCAGGGTTGTTTGAGAGCTGCTCGGGAAGACAGACTGGTTCCGGGGCTATAGAGCCCTGGGTTCCAGGGCCCGCTTCCTTCAGGGCCCGTTTGCCTTTTGGGAAGATCGGCGGCGAACGAGGGGGGGAAGTGAGGAGGAGAAGGCCTTCTCAGAAGGCGGTGTCGCTTCTCAGAAGCCCTCGGGCCTTCTGAGAGTTGTTCAGTGTCTTCGGTTGAGGCCCATGCAACTTCTCAGAAGGCCGGGGGACTTCCGAGCCTTCTGAGAAGGCCCACCCCTCCGCATTCCCCCCCCGCGCTCGCCGCCGAGAAGAGGTGCTCTGCAGGGCCACGGACTCGGCCTACAGCACCCAGCCGGAGCGCGCGGAGCCCATCTGGAACTTGCGCGGGCTGAACTGCAACTGCTGGCACCGCGTCCCCGTGCAGCACTTGGACGAGTGAGCGCCCTCCGCGGTGGCAGAAGGCGCGCAGGTGGCCGCGGCGTGCCCCGCCGGGCGATGTCCCGGCCCTGGCCGCCCCCCTAACTCGGCCGCGCAGAGGGGGGGGGCGGGGGGGGGAGGGGGAAGGCCTCTTAGAAGCCCCCCTGCTTCTTAGAAGGCGCGTCGGGGCTTGGACCGAACCCCCATCCTGACACGTCGATTCGTGAATTGACCGTTTTCGGTTCTCGAGAGAGCTCCGCGGCCGTCATTTTCCTGGCTTGCGCCCGCCAGGTTTGGGCCCGAGGTCGTTTTCACTAAACAACGTTTTACTACAGGGGGTTCCGTCCATTCCTGAGCGCGGGCATCGTCTAGAGACGTAGGGCCGGTTCCCTCTAAGGAGCAGCTTCTTTCCAAGGAGCTGTCCCCCCTCCCCCATACGCCCTCTGTGCGCGCCGCCAAGTAACTGCTCGCACCCCAGAGGCTCCGGGGGCCGCGGGCCCGAAGGTTTCGTCACTGGCGACGTGAGGCTCGGGTGTTGCTAGAAGTACCCCTGGCCCAAGGTGCCCCCAGGAATCTCGGGGTGGCCCAGACGGCCTCCAAGGAACTCCTCACGAGTCCCAGAGGGCCCCAGGGGCTCCGAACTGGAGCGAAAAGCTGGGGGCACCTTGGGCCATGGGCACTTTTAGCAACACCCGAGAGGTGGGGATTGGTTCAGAGGGACGCATCGACACCCAATCGCCCATGCATCGACGAGGGGGGCCCGATAGCCCACCCCGCCCAGGAACGTGTTGATTCGCTACCGCGGGCGTATCGCTCATCGATCGGCGGTGTATCACCGATTTCTGCTCGATGTTTACCCCCTGAGCCCTTTCCCCCTAATTGTATCGGTTCCCTTCGTTCATTGGGGATGTCTGGACGTGTCTGGGACCTCCAGGGAATCTCTGGGGGCCTCACGGAGGGCCTCTTGTGTCCATTCCGAAAGCATGTCTTAGGCCCCAGTGCCGAATTTTGTTGCGGGGCATAAGAATTGATATTGCTGCTGACACAGATTCCCCCTTCCCCCTCATCTGCTTATGCTCCTCGGATTTCTCCTCTGGGCGTTGATGCCGGTCATGATTTCGCCATTCCTCTTCTTCTTGTTGTTGCTTCTCGTCTTCGTAGAACTCCTGGGCAGCAGGCAGACCAGGCCAAGCCAGCCAAACTAGTTGGACCAGCCAAATCTCACGACTAGGCACCAGACCAGACCAGTTACTTTGCGATCTAGGCCAGCCAAGACCTGGCCATAGTAAGAAGGTCAGCCAGATCAGTTACGTCAACCACACTACGACTGCATTGCAAACAACAGTACGTTGCGAGCAAAGAACTGCGATGGGAAACACTTGGACCAGGCGGACCATCCAGAACAACCTGTCAAACCAGCAATGTCGACCAGCTAGACCAACCAGACCGACCAACCAGCTAGTCCAACCAAGCTAGACCAATCAGACCAGACAGCCACCCAGGTCAGCCGGACCAGATCAACCAGACCAACCAGACGAGCCAGCCATCGAAATTCGCCAAGCCCAGACGAGATGAAGCAGATCAACCATACTAACCACATCAGCCAAACCAGAATTGCATTGCAATAATATTGCAACGCAACACAAATCAGACCAACCAGCTCCGCCAGACCAAAAGGGAAGTAGACCAAGCAGACCAGCCAGCCATCCAGACCAGCGAAGTTCAGTCCGAACTGTGCAGGCCAACGTCATCAGCCAGGCCAAAACTGCAACGACAAAGCAACACTGCAATTGAAGCAACATTGCGATGCAAAAGGCTTGAACCAAGCAGGCCAGCACGACCAGCAAATGAAACTGGACCAGGCAACCATTCAGATCAGCCAAGTGCAGACCAGACTAAGAACATCTTCACCAATCAGACTAAATTTGCAGTCCCCAACTACAATGCTAACAACAGTGCAATGCTAAATAAACTTGCTTGCTGAGGTCGTGATGGGCGTTGCTCGCCACGCACCTCCCTGGACCTCCTCAAACCACATTACGCTCACAAAGCTCTAGCAGCGAACCAGCGGCATTCCGAAGCATTATAAACCTACATGGCAACAACACATGCAATGCACAACACATGCAATGCACCAGCAACAATGGTTTGCTGTCGTCGTCGTGGTTGACGCTGCGCGTTGCGCACCTCCCTGGACCTCGAACCAAATCTGGCTCGCACGCGGGATCATACTCATAACTTCAAGCCCTAGCAGCGAAGCAGCGGCATTCCGAAGCATAGTAACATTGCATTGCAAACACACTTCTAAGGCAACAGCACCTGCACTGCAACACACACACACACTGCTTTGCTGTCGTCGTCGTGGTTGGCGCTGCACGCTTCGCGCCTTCCTGGACCTGAAGCCACAGTCGGCTCGCACGTGGAATCATAGTCATAATCATGAGCTCAAGCTTGAGCAGCGAAAAGGCATTGCTGAAGTTTCAAGCTTGCTCGTTGGAAGATTGTCTTCTTGTCTTGCGCTACACGGCTAAGAACTCTCTAAAACCGCATTGCAACGTTTTGCAACGCAAGCCATATTATTTTGTTGTCATCGTCGTGGTTGGATCTTCGCGTTTCTCACCTCCCTGGACCTCCTCGAACCACATTCGGCTCGCACTCGGAATCATAGTCAGAAGCTCTAGATCTAGCGGCGAACCAGCGGCACTCTGACGCATGATGCGATTGCATTGCAATTGAAAGCAGAAAGTTGCAGTGCAGCACCAAACGTAAACATACAATTCAAATTGGTGTGTCGTCGTCGTGGTTGCCGCTGCGCGCTTCGTTCCTCCCTGGACCTCGAATCAAATTCGGCTCGCACGCGGAATCATAATCATGAGCTCCAGTTCCAGCAGCGCACTGGCGGCACTCCGATGCTCAACTTCAAGGCTGAAGTTTCGAGCTTACTCTTTTGAGGATTCGCGTCCCGCCTTGCGCTACACGGCTGAGAACTTGATGATTCGGTGTTGGGCGTACTCGCATCAGGCTTAAAGGTTTTCGATGCCTCTTTTCCATGTTTGCTTCACCAGGAGATGCACACGCAGGACATGCAAGCGTTGATCATTCAATCATGTACTCCAGATTTCGTAATAAGGGGAGGGGGGTCTCATTTCGGGGGGGGGGTCTCTTCCAGGCTATCTTGGAGGGCCTGGGGGGATTGGGGACGATGTTTCGGAGGGTTCTCCCCCGGGGGAGGTCTGAAATGGCTCGTCTTGGAGGGTCCAGACCCCCTCCCTTGTATTACGAAATCTGGAGTATGTCGTGGAGCCTGGGGCGCACTGGGAAGGCGCGGCTGTCCTCTACAAGAACACGCAGGGGCCCTCCTGGAAGGGCCCGGAGGCTTCTGAGGAGGCCCTTCTTGGGAGCAGAGGGCCGTAAGGAGCTCCTGCCTCTGCAGACCCACTGTCCTCTTCTCGGGCGCCCCCCCCCTCCGCCCCACCCGAGTACTCCAGATTTCGTAATAAAAGGGAGGGGGGTCTCATTTGGGGGGGGGTCTCTTCCAGGCTATCTTGGAGGGCCTGGGGGGTCCGGGGACGATGTTTTGGAGGGTTCTCCCACTGGGGAGGTCTGAAATGGCTTGTCTTGGAGGGTTCAGACCCCCTCCCTTTTATTACGAACTCTGGAGTACCCGCCGCCACACCAGGGCAGGGCGAGCGGACGATTCAGACATGGCCCGGGGGTGGGGGGGGGCGGTGGCAGCGCCCCACTGCGACGCCGGCGATTTGACACGCGGCACCCCGCAGCCGCAGCTGCGAATGGGAGTGAGGGAGCCGGCGTTGTGGGTCGCGGGTGGGTTCGGGGTTCAAGAGGCGAGGGCCAATGCAAACGGGGGTCGGTCAGAGCTCCAGATCTTGCAGGACCAGGGGCGCATTGACCCGGGTCCGGGTGCAGGCTCCGGCAGGAGCTTGCAAGGCCTGACTGGCCCGGGCTTGAACTGACCCCGGTCAGTAGATCCCCGGGTGGGCAGTGGGTCGCGGGTGGGTTGCGGGGTAGGTCGCGGGGTGCGTCGCGGGGTGGGTCGCGGGTGGGTCGCGGGCGAGGACGACAGAGCAGCAGCAGCAGCAGCACAAGCAGACTCCGCTGGACAGAACGCCACTTCTGCCACGCACCCAGGTACTCCGGATTTCGTAATAAAAGGGAGGGGGTCTGGACCCTCCAAGACAAGCCATTTCAGACCTCCCCCGTGGGAGAACCCTCCAAAACATCGTCCCCAGACCCCCCAGGCCCTCCAAGATAGCCTGGAAGAGACCCCCCCCAAATGAGACCCCCCTCCCTTTATTACGAAATCTGGAGTACAGTGCATGACCGTCTGGCCCCGTCACTCTGAAGATTCTCGTGGTGCGTCGTCGTCGCAGTCGTCGGCGTCACCGTCGCGGCCGTCCGGGCGCAGCCCGACCCAGTCCTCCTCCTCCTCCTCCTCCTCCTCCTCCTCCTCCTCCCCCTCCCCCTCCCCCTCCTCCTCCTCCTCCGAGGAGACAGATAGTTGTT